TTCAAGGCCAGCCTGGGATACATGAAACCTTGTCTCAGTCCCTCCCCAAACACATGTGCATACATATGTAATAAATTGCAGCAGAGTTCACTGATATCCCTCTCCTGGCACACATTTACTCATTTCTTGCCTCCCAAGATGAGGTTCTTAAACGTGACACCCATCCTCCATGTTAAGAGGGCCTAGTACAGGCCTGGGGTTGATACAGCCTGCAACCGTTTGTTATACCCTTTGCCCATTCTCTCTGAGCCTCAGTTTCCTTTCTGTGCACAGCAGGAATATTAGGCACTCCTGTCTGGTGGGTTTGTGGTGAGGATTCTCTGCATGATCTTCACAAACCACTTAGCTTGGAACAAAACCATCACTGCACAATTCGTGCTTTTGTTACATACACAGTCTGTCATAGTTAACCGAGTCCACACAGGTCTGAAGAGGGTACCCTGTGCCCCTGCTCCAAGCCCCCTCCCCCAAAGCCAGCATGTTTCTCTGTGCCATTGTCACGGGCTGCTTCCATGTACATACCAGTGGGAAGCAGCAGAAAGACTAGTCTGTTCTTATCAGCTGGGCCCCTCTCCTTTATAAAAGAGCCCTCCCCATCTGCAGTGAAGGACAGTGAATGCCACAACCACGACCCTTTATTCCCTTTCACCTAGAGAGCTCCTGTGGTTCAGGGGTGTAGGGCAGACAACAGTCCATATCTCTGAGAGGAGGACCAGCAAGTGCGTCCTCCTTCTGTTGACCCCTGTTTCCCTCTTTTTAATTCTAAGAGTGAAGTCTGCCTCAGGGTTCTCCTGCCTGGCATGGATTTCTCTTCCTGGCACCTGCAGCATCCCCCAGGGCCAGGGCCAGCTCCAACGAGACCTGCTCAGCAAGACTTCACCCACCAGCCCTGGTGAGAACCATACACAGCCACCCGCCAGGTTCCACAATGGTCTGTCCTTCCCCCCCCCAAACACTCAGCTGACAGCTCACACCTTGTGATGCCTTGTGGGGTGTACATACTTGGCAGAAAGTAGTTTCCAGCAGAGGAACACTGTGTCATGAGCCTTACTCATGTCTCTTCCCATCCATACATCAAAAATCCAACTCCCAACTGAGTTGAGAGGAGGCGCTGAGTCCCAAGATGAGGGGGCAGCCCTTGGGAAGTGACAGCACCAGACCCCAGTATCCTTCGCAGACACGTGAGAGTGAGAATTCAGTCCTCAGGTGGACTTTTACAAACCAGGAAGACAGCATTTACCAGGCAAACTCTGCTGACTCTGTGAACTTGGACTTCCAGCCAGCAGAACTGTGACGAATGAACTACATCAGAACTCAGCACATAGACAGCAGATGATAATAATAATAATAATAATAATAATAATAATAAATAATAATAATAATTTTAGCAGACCCTCTCATGTCTTCTCCAATCTTTCATTGCCATTAACTGTGAACTCCGGTTCCTGGTGGTGGGTTCAAAGCCACACAGGGACTTTGAGGGCCTGGGGAAGGAAAGCTGTGCACACAACGGGGTATTGCATTCTCCCTTGCTAAAAGGTGGTGGATGAGTAGGGCTGCAGGCTAGCTCTCCTCCCCAGTTTTGGCCTAAATCACCTCAGGACTGACGTGAACATCTTCTTCTCCCAACTTCAGGAGACTGCTTTCTCAGTACCTGTACATAGAGGAAGTTTGCTCTGCGGAAAGGAGGAAGCCTTGCCCATGTGACAAACACAGGCTAGTTTCTTGTTTGTTTTTAAACGTGAGTTACAGAATCCTATAACCACCCTTGCAGGCTAGTGCCATCATCCCTCATTCTATTTATGTCCCACAGATGGCAGAATGGAGCCCCAGACAAGATGGTCTCTCTGAAGGTCGAATGTACTGAGTGCACTTGGTAGACTGAGCTTTGGGTTGAGGCAGACTCTGGTTTTCAAACTACTTCTTTTGAACCCTATTCATGTACTTCTCACATTCAGCCAGGCCACTCACCAGAGCGGCCTAGCCACGTCCCTCGGTTTGCAATTGCCTCTATAATGGAGCCCAGACACTTGCAGAAGAGGATGAGCTGGGGTCTGAGCTGTAAGGATGCCTTCCTGGAATAGCATCCTTCCGCCAGCTTCTTATCTCTGCACACCCCCCCCCCTTTTCACTATGTGGCAAAAGCCGGCAGTAGTTTCTCCCTGAGAAATAAGAACCAAGTACATACAAAAGGATAAGGGATCGGAGCCTCGTGGTCAGGCCATGAGGAGGAGTCAGGCTGAGGGGTCATTCTAGCTTTCAACATGACTTACACTTGGGGCTTCTGCCTTCCCAACCAAATCTACCTCCCTCCTTGCCCTCAGTTACCGGCTGCAGCTTTGAGCGCCCCTAGTGGAGGTAAGAAGTATGGGCCTGCTGCAGCAATCAACCTCCAAACGGGAGAGCCGGTATACTGCGCTTCTTTCAAAGGCTTTCAGGAACGGACACCTGACGAAAAAGTCACAGACAGATCTAAATGCTCCGTTCAGGGAACATCATGTTTGCCTCGGAAGAGAAGAGAAAGGAAGTCGGTATTGTTTCCTAATGCCCAGCAGAGCTGTGTGACTACAAGAAGGCTTTTTCAAGTTTGGATCAGGCAGTCCCTGGTGGGGTCAGCCAGAACTCCTTGAAAAAGAATGGCAAATTCCTAGAAAAACACAGTTAGGGCCCACGTAACAGCGATACATGTTGACACATGTCAGCGCCTAGGGGAGGCAGCAAATTAGAGTTTTACTAAGCAATACTGAATTTGCTTTGTTAATACAGGGGAGAGGAAAAGAACGCTCAGGCTTTGCAGTCTTAGCACGGATATGCAATCACTCCTTCATGCATGTCTTACACAGTAAGGGTCCTCTTCAAAAACGAGCCACACTTTATACGTATCCCCAGCAAACAGCCCAGAGAGCGTGCACCCTCCACGGGAGCGTTGCAACAAGTTCCCACCCCCCCAAGCTGCAAGCAGAAATACTAGTCCGAAACGCTGGGCTCTTCTGAAGCCTCCCCTCTCTGGTTTGAGTGACTATGAGCTGCAGGTTAAAAATAGAACTATTGTGGAAGATCAATTGTTTCCAAATGGACCGTCAGAACTGGCAGTGCCCGTCGGCCACCCTGGCTCCCTTCTTATGACTCAGTTAGAACCCCAGGGTTCATAATGAGCCTCTGGAAGAAGTGTATCAGTGGACTTTAGTTCGACCATGACCTGAAGTTAATATATATATATATATATATATATATATATATATATATATATATATACACTCACTAGCTATGGTGTGGAACAGTTGGAAAATATAAAATGCCTAAAAATTTAAGACACAAATGCACACACCCTGCTCTCACTCCTACGCTCTGGCACACACTGAAGAATCAGGATACAGAACCCTGATCTTGGCTGACATTTCTATACATGCCATTAAGACCCCACCCCCATGCCCACAGTGGGGCCTCAGAGAATGCAGAACTCAGGGGTAGGATCATTTTAGAAAAGGTGGCAAAACCTCTGGACATCTCTGAGTTCTGCTTGTGGAGTGTGTGTGTGTGTGTGTGTGTGTGTGTGATCCAGTTCAAGGCCACCACGCTATTGTTGGAAAGAGACAGCTAATTAAGAGAGGGCATGCTGGGTAGAAACCATTGATTTAAACCAAATCTCTTTTCCCATCTTTCCCAGGGAAACAGCCCAAACCGGGTGTAAATTGGAAATACTGCCGCCTCACAAGGAAGGGGGTGGGCGTTCTTAACGGTCTGTTTTGTTAAATAAAGGAGGGGCAAAGCATGTTCCTTGCTCTCACTTCTGGGCCCAACAGTTAGAGAAGAGAGTGGGGATAAAATGCCTTATGTATGCAGAGGAGGGCACTCCAGGTCACCAGGAAGAGAAGGGACCCGGAGGTAGGGCCTGGAGCTGAGAGCTGTCCGGGGCCTCTGGTGCTGAACTCAGGGGCCCAGAATTCCCCGCGGGTGGGTGCGTGTCTGTCCCTACAACTCCGGATCAAGGAGACCCAAATGAAACGGAACTCCAGATGGACATGGGGTGAGCGCCCCGGGCCGTGGCCGGCTCAGGCGGACACCCAGCCTGCTTTGTAAGTTACCACGGGAGGAAACAAGAGACACACTTTGCCAAGATGATGGGAGGGTTAGTGGGCTCCCCTAGCGTCAGCCAATTCCCATAGCTCCGGGGCGTGGGGGAAGGTCAGCTTTGGGTGAGTTACAGCCTCACTCCTCCACCCCGGGGCGGAGTCGCACTGTAACTTGCTGGGACCCCGGCCGTGAAGGCGTGGCTGCAGGTAGGTGAAGCAACTCACAATCCCCGCAAACTCAGACCCCTTTCCTAAGCAGCGAGCACGCAGATTTCACTAGCACGCCCTCTTCGTCCCTAGCATCGACGAGGGAGGGTAGGCTGTAGAGGGGAGAGAAGGAGCCCAGCCCTTGAGGTTCTAACGTCTGTCTCTCTTCTCACCAAGTTCGGGGAGCCCTGAGCTCCCCTCCACCAGAGAAAGCCACACCCAAGTCCAATTTCTTGACACCTGGGTGGGAACCTATCCAGCGGACAGCCGCTCTGGATAGTCCGAGCCAGCATGGGATGGTGGGATGGAAGGGAATCTGGCTCTGGTGACAGGCAGTCAGCTGTCCCCCTTCCTATACCCATCCTCTTCCACAGAGAGCGACAGAATAACCTGGCAGCCAGCCCCGGGTGCAGTTGCAGAGAGCTTCCGGAATCTGGAGGTTTGGAGACTACCCCACTCCAAGGAGCTCCTCCGGACCGCCAAAGGGAGTCTGTCCCCAGCCCGAGAGACCGATCAAGGACCCGCAACCCGAGGCGGGAGTCCTTCAGATACGTCCCCGCCTCCGCGCTCCGGCGGGGACGAGGTGCCCAGCCCCGAATCCAGGCGGTCTGGCGGGTGGCGCGTGCGTCCCCCGACCAGCCACGACCCCCGACCGCCCGGGTCAACAGCAACAACTTTGCCCCATCTGGGCGGGGGGGGGGCAGCTCTCGGGGTTCTTACCTTCCACCTGAGCTTCCGCGGGGCTCCCCAAGAGCAAGGCAACCAGAAGCAGAGAGATCCTGTCGGGTCCCGCGGCGTGCGGCCGTGCCACGGGCATCGTGGCTGCGGAGCTGGGATCCGAGCAGAGATCCGTGTGGCGGGGTCTAGGCAGAAGGATCCCGGCAGGCAGATTCGGCCAGTGCGGTCCAGGGAGAGGGAGGGGTCTGGGCAAACGGCTCCGGCTCGGAGCAGCCGGGTCCCAGAGCGAGGTCCAGACTGAGGAATCCGTGCGGGAGGATCCGGGCAGAGGGATCCGCGCAGTAGGGTAGGGGCGAGCGGCTCCTGGCGGACGCGCAGCCCGCGGTGGTTCTGGCCGAGCTGCACCGGGCGCGGGCGACGGACGAGTGAGGAGGAGCCGCGGGCGGCGAGCGAGCGAAGGGCGGGGGGCTGGGGCCCGAGCGAGCGAGCAGGAGAGAGAGCGAGCGAGAGAGCGAAGGAGGAGTGAGCGCGAGGAGGCGGCCGAGGGCCGTTCCGGGGCAGCCTGGCCCTCTGGCCCTGAGAAGTTAGTGATGTCGCCGCGTCCCGGATGGGGTTCCCTCTCTCTCTGCGGATGCTGGCGCAGTCAGATGAGGCGGAAGAGCACCCGGTGTGCCCTTGCAAGCCCAGTCGGCCCGCAGTCTGCTCTCTCTCTCTACGGCGCAGCCCTCTCTCCGGCCCCTGAGGGCCCCACTGGCCCAATGCCTTGGTGCTTCTACAGAGAGTCCCAGTGACCTAGGAAGTCACACAGACTGCATCCAGGGACCTCGCTGGACCAATACACGGGGCCGCAGAATCCTGTGTCTGACACCAAGTGGCTCTTCACCCCGGAAACACCCAGCAGCAGACTCTTAGGCGAAGACCCATCACCCGTGTTAGGATTTCAGCTCTGTCTGCTACATTAGCGCTCTCAACAGGGCCCTGCAGATCCTCCAGGCTTCCAGAGCCTGAGCTCTGGTTTCCCTTCCCCCATTGGGAGCTTTGGGTCCAGGCCCATCTTCTGGCCTCCTCTGTCCAGTTTGGACTCTCTAGAAACGTGTCTTTCTTCCGTACACAGAGGAGATGGGGCTCCGCTGGGTGGGGAAGACAAGCGGGCGCTTGTAGCCAGGCATTGGCCAGGGGCCAGGTGGGAGATGCCTCGCACTGCACTGAGGGAGACTGACCTCCTTGTTCTGCAGGGTTTCTCGGGCCCAGCTGCCTTCCCAGGCCCCTCGCCCCAAGTTAGAAGCCCTCCCCACCCCACCCCCACCACCTTGCCACTCCTCACAGGCCGGGAGCAGATGGAGAGAAGGTTGTAGCAATTGGGGGAAAATGTCTTCAGCAGAGTGGAGGAGCTGGGAGATCCCTAAAAAAGAATTGGGGGAGGGGAGCACTGGAGATGGAAGGGGAGGAGGTGGGAGGCAGAATTCTGCTCCTGGCTCCGGAAGCCCCTTCAGACTCACTCATGGAATGCTCTTGCACAGGCCATTCCATTCATTTGAAGCCCAGTGTCTGTCAGGCTTCCAGTGATGGAGGGCGCCCTGTTTCCCCATGCTCACCTTGGTCAGTAAAGCCACGTGGGTTTCAGAGTGTGGGACGTTAAGGGAGGCATGCAGAAGGCCTGGTTCCCCCTTTGAGGGAATGTCGTGTTGTCCTGCCTTGCTTCATGAGGGTGGCAGAAGTAGGGAGCCGCCTGGACCACCCCGTCACCCTCAGGGCTTAGCAGGACTAGCAGCAGGCCGTGGGTCAGTAACCCCCACAGAACAGAAGCTCGAAGAAAGCATACAGGATAATGGAGGGGAAAGAAGAGCAAAGGAGACACAAGTGCCAGCTTCCTCCTTGGAGACCAGGGTAGGAAGGAAGGCATGTTAACTACCCACTGCTCCCCAGGCTCTGCTGTGGTCTGTCTCTTTCAACTTCATAATGATCAGGAGTGATCATTGTGATCAATATGTCCCCTGGAACCTCACAGTGGGTCAACCTCGCCAGGGGCGCTCAGCCAGGAAGTGGTGGATGGAGGAATTCAAGGCCAGGCTTGAGTTAAAAAATCAGACCCCTGTGCCAAACATGATCCTTCCCAGCACCAAGATGGCCGCCTCTGGGCTGTGACTTGGTGGCTTCTCCTGGGGCTTCCCCACCTTCGGACTCCCAGCAGGCCACTAGAAGAAGTCCATCACTGCAGTCCCTGCCTTGTAAGGTTGGGGAGCGTCTAGCATGAGCCTCTGTAGACACTGCAGTGCCGTTGACTGTCAGCCCACTGGGCCCACGGCGCGGGCCAACCAGTTTGATTTGTGCTGAGACTGTAAAGGAGGGAAACTCAGTTATCTGAAGACATGGACTTAAGAACATCAGGAGGATGGGATGCCACTGGAACGGAACGAAGCCAGCTGGGCACATGGCTGGAACAGAAGCAGGGTGTGGGGGGAGATCTTCCTCGTGGCCAGACCCATTTTACAGAAGAGCAAAGGAGGAGTAAGGGTAAAAATAGTACCTGTTGTGTGGAGTGAGTGACAACATAAAGCAGTCTCCAGCAGTCTCCTCAAGGTCTGACTGGATGCACTGTGCATGCTCACAGGGTGAGGGAGAGGACCTCAGGGGTAGGTCAACTCAAAGCTTAGTCTAGGGTTGTTATCAACAGTGCCTTGGATCTAACATAACGAAGTGGCAATCCCACATGTTTGCAGTCCCAGCCGTGAGAACACAGGAAGCTGGAGTGCCTTACCCTGTCTCTGCCTTTCTGTGTGTCCTTCTTTGAATCACTATTCCTTCTGGACTTGGTCTCTGAATCTGTCTACCTATCAATTCACCCATCCACCCACTCACCTGTTTATCCATTTACCCACCAAACCACCTATCCATTCAATCACTAACTTTAACCATTCATCTATCTATCCAGCCACCCATTCATCCTTTCTTTCATTCATCCACTCACCATCTATTTATCTAACCCATCCAGCTAATCATCCTTTGGCAATCCTTCCATCCATCCATCCATCCATCCATCCATCCATCCATCCATCCATCCACTATCCACCCATCCATACATCCATCTACCAATCCATCCATCATCCATTTATCTATCATCCATCCATCATCTCATTCATGCATCCATTCTTCCACCCATCTATTCATCCCATCCACCCATCCATCCATCTCTCTCTTCTAATCATCCATTTACCATTCACTACCTTTCCATCGAGCCATCTACCTAGTCAATCACCCATTAGCCCCCTTCCTCCTTTTCCCTTCCCTCTGTCCCATCATTTCCTCTTTCTGTCCCCTATCCATCCATATATCCTTCTGTCTATCTGCCCATCAATCCATCCACCCACCATCTCATTTTCTTTGTGCTCAGCCTATGATACGCACGTGTCAAACTCAGTGCCAGTGGCTGTGAATGCAGTAGATATGGTCCCTTGCTTTCCGGAACTGTCTAGTGAGGTCTGCCGAACCATGGGCCCAAGTCCTTTTCAGTTGACCAATGCTCTCTGCCAGGAAAGCAGTTTCACAGAGTATCCAAAACAGTCTGGGGTTTCAAACTTTACAGCCTGAAACTTGAATATGTTCCTACCAATGACCGTGTGGCCTTCAGCAAGGACTGTCCAGACCAAGTGTCACATGCCTCTGTGACATCTGAAAAAGTACTGAAAGACTTTTTATTGGACATTGGAGGAGAAGAAAATATCTGCTGTTTTAAAGAGGGAGGAAGCAGTATAAAAGAAGACATCATTAAAAAGAGGATGTAAAAATGCCAGTAGAAGGGTAGCAGAGGAGATGGACCACACCCTCCCCCCATCTCTGAAGTGATGGAGCCTCCAGAAGCTTCTCCTCTGGTCTTCACCACAGAGCGCAGCTTCTGCAGCCCCTGGTGGGAAGCCTGGGCCCTCACTGCACTCTGGCTGGAAGCCGACAAGGCTATGGTCAAGTGTGGGGCAGCCCACCGCATCTGGTCCCCATACGGATCATCTGCAGAGGGTGATCTGCCCCCTGGGCTCCCCTGGAGATGTGTCATTGTGAGCTGGAAGACAGCACCTCACTTTCCAGCCTCAAGTTGGCAGAACACAAAGCCTGCCCCCTACTGATCCGCATTCTCCCGAGGCCAGAGAGAGCTGGAAGCTGCCGCACAGCAAGAGTAGGGAGAGAGCTCAGAGGCTGGGACAGAAAGAAGCATCTGTACAAAGGGGCGCCACCGCTGGGATCTGCAAGCCCAGGGGGCAGAGTGTTCTCATGAAGGGCTATGTGCCCTGGTCTCAACAGGGAGGAAAAAAAAACAATCTATGACTCTGTTTGTATTTATACAGTCTGACGTTGCAAACCCTGACACACATGTATTGCAGGCCGCAGAGAACACCCTTTGTTTGTGTAGGTGGGTTATCCTAAACCTCATGAGGTTGAGATCTGAGCCTAAGTGTGCCCTTGGGCTCACTGGGTTTATTTAGAGTCAGACATGCCTGGATTTGAGCCAGAACTCCATCCTAGGATGCAGCCTGTGAGCCTCAGTTTCCCCATCTTCAGGCATCATCAGTGACCACAGTGCCATTCCTGGAAGCTAAGTATGCAGCCTGACTTAGCAGGGTGCTCGGGAAATGTGAATGCTGCTGCTTCCTCCAGGGTTGCTGATGAGCACCGGGTGGCGAGGCACACAGGCTGCAGACAGCCACTCACGTGGGGTTCATGAAGCGAATTCATCATCATCTAGGCCCAGGAACAAGCCTGGCTGAGGCAGAGGGCACAGGGAAACTAATGCTCCCAAGCCTTCCAGACACCCGGCCAGTCAGATCTGTTTTCTGGGTGACTGGCTTCCTGCAGAATTAACACAGACAGCCTGCTCTGTTCAATTCCAGGAACACACTATAGCCCTCTGCCTCCCGCTCAAACCTTCCTGGTCTCCTCGGTGTGGGATACGGAAGGGGCCAGGCTGGGTCAGCCTCCTGCTACTCAATATTCCATCCTTGTTCCCAGCCAAAGCCCAGCCTCAGCACCCAGGGGGGACAGAAGAGGGAGGGCAGAAGGTAGGAACATGTGTAGAACCCCTAAGGCCCGAGGGGAGAAGCCGTATGTCCAAGCTCACCCAGGCTATGCGGGTCTCAGAGAAGTGCCACCTTGGCATAGGCTGAACTTCAGGAGCCCAAGGGATTGTGAACCTCCAAAGTCCAAATTCTCTACAACGGACCCTCAGCTCAGTCTACTTGTCTCTTACCCTCTCTGTTTCGGATTTTACTCATTTGAAGAAATGGAGTAATTAGGGGGGGGACTCCCCCTCCCCCAGTCGTGATGATCAGTGATTCTACATTGTCAAACCCAGTGACTGCCAGTAGGGACCCGGTCCCGTGAGAGAGAAAGCCAACATTTGTGAGCACGTTCTCGCTTGGAGTTGAACACCTGATGTCCACAGAGTCCTTGCAACCACCCGAAGAGGTCATACCACTATATACCAAGCTGAACTCCTACGCAGCCCACAGAACCCTCTTCATCGGACCCCTTCTCACTGCTTAAGATAGGGTATCACTCTCTGCCTGGGCTGGCCTTGAACTTAAAGTCTTCCTCCCGCTTCTGAGTTCTGGGGGAGAGGTGTGTGTCACCACGACCCTTTGTTCTATTTCCCTGTCTGTGTCTCTTTCTGATGTTTCTGACCTGAGACCTGCTGGATCTTTCCCTCCTGACAGCCAGCTGGCTCCTCTCCAGAGAGGCCTCCCGAGTTTTTCAAAG